GATTTTTTTTTTTTTTTTTCGAGGGGATGGGGGCAAATGAGAAAGCTGAGGATGAAGCTGCAGCCACCTGCATTTGTTGATAGTGCATTGAAATGCTGGACCCTTGCTCCGCATCTTGAGCCTGGGCTCCGGATTGCAAGCTCCGGGCTCTGCGGGGTTGCTCGCGGCTCCATGGCTCCGCTGGCCGCCTTGGTGCCTCCCGGCCTTTTTGCCAATGTGCAGGTTGCGCACTTGCCGTTTCAACGCAACTGGCAGCACTTGAATGGGGAGCCCTCTCATTTTTTCTTGGAAGTCGGAGCCAACAATCATGAGTTGGAGCGTGACTTTCTGGAGCCACTGCTCCAGGATGGAGCTGGCGGCTTTTTGATCAGCTTCGAGCCGCTGATCGACAAGTACGGCTTTCTACTTTCCAACCGGGACGACAGCCCCTATTTCATGAATCTGGGACTTCAACACCGACGGGGCTTGGTTTTGCCTCATGCCGTCAGCACATGCGAGGGGCCAACCGCAACGTTCCATGTGTCGCCAGTTGATGGGTGCAGCAGCCTTCGAGCCCCCGCACGTGACTTTAAGCAAAAGAATCGGGATGACACGTACCTTGGGAGAGCATGATTGGAAGGGTAGGCTTTCTTCGCACATGGGCCTGCGAGATCTTTCGCAAGTAAGGGACAACATGTGCCGTGCCAAAGTCGTGGGGTAAGAGTGAGAGAAATGCTGATACCGTATGTAACAAATCTGACACTGTTTACACAGAAGGTGTTTAGTCTGAACAGGAGTTTGGCTGGAAATATTGTGGGGGTTGGCATTTGCTATCATTCACTAGATTCGATGAGGTATGCAAGATCCTGGCCAGCGTGGGTTGAGGAAAACTGCACCGCACTGGCAGAGCACAGAGAGGTTCCATGCATCTCGCTGGAGACGGTGCTTGGGGAGTGGCTGCAGGGTCGCCCGATGGCACGACTGAAGATTGATGCGCAAGGCAGCGATCTAGATGTTGTTAAGTCTGCTGGACTTCATGTGGACAAGATCCTGTTTGTGGTTTTAGAGGCACAAGGCACCTTTGAAGCAGCGCTATATGAGGGCCAAAAAATGTGTGATGAGATACAGACGGAGATGAGGTCATTGGGCTTCATCCTTGCCGATTCAGGCAGCCTTCCGGGATGCAATCGAACTGGTGGGCTCCCCTACCCGTTCCACGAGGAAGACATTGCATTTGTTCGCCACGAACTTCGCCACTTGTGGAGATCCTTCTATACAGAACATCCTTATTGCCGAAAAGGGATTCTATCGGCTGCTGGCGCGTGTGGTGGGCCGTACTGCATGGCACCGGAAATCGGCTTGCACGTGAACCGGTCAGGAGGCTGCGACGGCCTGATTCAGGACACTTTAACTTTCACCTCCCGCGCTGTGGGACTTGCGTTGCTCGGGACGTCAGGCGATTGTTGGAGCCATGTGCGGGTCGAAGTGCAGAGAGGCAACCTCACAGTGCAGGTGCTGCAGGGTCGCACGCGAGGACATCGGCGGTGTCCTGCAAGGTTCGTTGCAACCCAGTCACTGCATGGACCTCTAATGCGTGTGCGCGTGGGGAGTGAAACATCTGCTGACTTCCGTGTCCGACTGCTTTTGCTGCCTGGTCTCCTGGACATGCCACCCCCAACCTTTCAGACGGTATTTGAGGACTTTCGGGACGTCATCTCACGAAGTGTCGTCGCATCAGGCGTTCATTTTGTTTGGCCGCGTGGCTGCGCAAGTTTGCCTGGGCATGTTCAGTCTTACTTGTCCAGAGAATACCATTCCACCCTGCTGGGACCGTCATCCACCGACATTTGCATTATGGAGAAGAAAAGGAAGCAGCGTTGTGGTAGGCAATTTTGCTGAGGACCAGGTGCTTAGCCCTGTTGCCTTGAAGTATCGCTGTTGCTAAGGCTTCCGCTTTTAAGTCTCCTCGTGTCCAGGAAGCTGATTTGGCTGGTACAGCCTGGCTAGCCGAGCGCGGGCCTGTGTGGTGCTCCATCGGGCTTCTGCATGACGCTGACAGAGCTATTGACAAGCTCAGCATCATGTCAAACTGCCGTGTTGACCTAGAGTGTGCAGCGGTTACATGCTCTGAACAGCGGAGTGCCACTGGCAAGCACGTTAATTCTGAATTACTTGAGTTGACCCTTGAAAAACAAAGCTCTTCTGGAATCGAGCTTTGCTGCAAGCACGTGTTCAGCCACGAGATCAGACGCATACAGAGACGTCCAGCGGTGGAGAAGCGATGGAGGGCTCAGGCTCTGCCAAACCTCCGGCGGAGGGTTGTGGATACGGCACGCTCCTCAGCCACCAATTCCTTTCTGAAGCTGGGCCCTCCAAAAGGTATCAAGTAAAATGAAGAGCAATCCTCATACGATGCTCGAAGTACGCTGAGCGCACCTCCATTTGCTGTGAATAGCTTGGCCATGTGAGGATACCTCAAGCACGAGAAAAGCCTGAGGCGTAGTAACTCGACGACAGGAATGTTGCATTCCTCACGCTTTGCATTCCAAAGGAATAGAAGGCTGCATCAACTGTGAGATAAAGTTGCAGCCTAGACTCGTGCTTTTATACAGTGAAGCTGCGTGGCACCAGCTCATGCGAACCCAGAGCTTCATATGTGCCCCCAAGACTGAGTTTAGTCGCATTTCCCTCAGATCTATGGCTTCCCGCGCTCACCGCTAAACTGCCTTAGACAACGCACCTTGCCATGTGCAAGGTGCACCCCTGAAAACTAGATAGCTTAGACTTGGAGTTGTCCTTTCAATGCATGCTCCGCAGGTCCCGGTTCAGCACCAGATGTTCTGGCTGCCGAGCCGCTGGAAACGCAGGCAGAAGCAAGGTTTGGGCTTGGACTTCACCATTTTGGCTGTTGCCTCTCATGATGCTGCGTGGTGCTATCTAGCAGAACCCCTTGAGTCTCGGGACCCAGCTTCTGCCATTCTACACCAGATGCCCTGCATCCCATATTCCTTGAAAGCTGAAGTCAGTGTCTCAAAAAGCCGGGCGGATGTTTTGCGCACTTCCAGCAAAGGTATCCCAGAGCCACCGTTGCGATTCAGATGTCCTAACTGCTGACAGGCTGCGGAAGAGCCAGCAGCTGCAAAGAATCCTGTGGTGAGAGCTTTACTGCAGCCGGCACAGCAAAATGAGCAGTAGGGAGATTCATGCCGACAAAGTGAATCAGGAACTTTCCTGCACTGTGTGCATGTCTGAATAATGTAGCGCGTTCAAGTACATGTGAAGTGAAGTCTTTAAAGAATGTGGATCTACAGCCAAGGCATGTGAAGTGGGCAAACTGGCTTCTGAAGGCAGCCCAGCATACTTCAGAAAATCATGACACATGCAAGATCCCTGTGCTTTGCAACATGCCCTGCTCATGCGGTTCCGAAAGCTCACCTTTGTGGCACATTTTCGATTTGAGGCCGGTCAGCACGAGCGCCGCTGCCTGAGTAGAACCGGACAGGCAAGCATCATAAGAATAATCAAGCGATCTTATCAAGATGAGCCTGCCAGCTACGAGCTTGAATGTCGTTAGCCTGGCGGGAAGACGAGCTAATTTGAAAGCCGAGGAGCTTCGTTGTCTGCTGTGATCGGCAAATAGCCCAGGTGCAGCAGATCACTTCGCCTCTTCACTTGAGCCGCTGGACGTTGATTGAATTTTGTGATGAAGCAAACACGACACAACCAGCATCAAACAGCAAGTAGGGCATGCAGCCCATGTGCTCCTGGAGGCTGGCCCCATCCGGTCAAGCACACTTTGGGCGCGGAGTGGCACTGGCAAAGCTTCGTCGACGGCAGGAGGCAGCCATGAAGCCAAAGCAGATCTTGCTTCTATCTGCTCCACAGGTTTGCCTTGCATTTCCTTTGCATTGCCCAGGCTGCTGAGGCTTTCGAGTTGGCATTGCAGCGGTGCCCACGGATGGCTGGTGCCTGCATCAATTTGGCAGGCAGGGCGGATGCAGGGCGGATGCAGGGCGGCTTGCTTCCAGCCATACTCCTTCAAGTTGTCCACGCAGCCAGCCAGCTGCAAAATCTGTGTACGTCTTATCACCTATTTCTTCAAGCCATCATATCGTGCAGTGTTGTAACACGGTGGGTGTCAGCTTTTGCATATGGTCCCCAACCTGGCGCTGACTGAATTGAGCTAGCCCCCAGGAAGCACTGCAACCCTTTCCGTCCCGCAGTCCACTATCGCTTGTAGATTCAAGAAATCGTTGGGCCATAGCATATCGTAGCAGTACAAGAGAACAAAGCAGAGGAGTGGCCGGAAAAAAAAAGAGCATGTGAAGCGCTGTAGCGGCTTGCTGCAGGTATGGAGCTCGCCTTGGGCCGCTTTCAGTCTGCGGAGCTTCATTGTCACAAGGCTAGGAGGAATCGCGCTCAAGCGCAGCCGCGTATGCCGCGTCACCATGAGCCTGCACTGATCGATGCCTGGCCTTGGAAGGCCTTGGAGCTGGAGCCTGACAGCCGGGAGGCCGTCACTGCGACGGGGCATGCGACCCAATATGCACATGTCATTGGGCGTGCTGTATGCAACCTGGGTGGTGGATGCTGGGGAAGGGTTCCCCTATAGTGTGCGACGTGAGCGCAGGCCGTAATGAATCTTGCCAACGCCTTGCGCAGCTCATTTGAAGCAGGGTTGCACTGCCAGTGCTTGACGGAAGTCCTGATCACGTGTGCGGCTGAGAGCGTTGAAGCAATTCGGGCCCCAAGGCAACCTTGGGCGACGACAGGAAGCAATCAATGCGGTGTGGGAGCGCATCCTGCACACTGAAGCCACAGGCCAAGGGATAAAGGCCGCTGGCTTGCAGTCAGGCGTGAAGATTCCAGCTTGCTATGTTGCACTCCAGGGTAGGAAATAGCATGGCCGCGTCTCAGATGCTGGAGGCCTGAGGGCGTCACGCACTGGATTGGAACGGTGGCTCTGTGGTCACAAGTTGACAAAAAGTCAGAGCCTTTGCAAAACTCAGGATAGGCCATCCCCACTGAAGCTCGCGGATGCAGAGCCTGGTGGGTCAGATTTGCCTTTGGCCCCTGAGACTAACAGCCGTCATGCATGCAGATCATAGCATTCCTCAAGCCAACAAGGGCAAGTGGCTCTATTTCCTGTTGCTTTGCAGGTCGTCGCATGCCTCAAGTGGGGCAAGCGCTGCTCAGTTTGATCCACGGGCGTATAGTTCCCTTATCTGACTCACTGTCATGAATGAATTGTACAGGGACCCAGCAGGGGAGGCCAAACGGTGAGAAGGTTCAGTTCAGCTTGGCGCGGGGATCGGCATCCCAGTTTCGATGTGCACCGTCGCCGCAAGGCTACTCGGCCCTCTACGTCAACAGGCTGTGCGCGGCCGTACGGCGAAATTTGCGAGCGCAGGCCCGCTACGTTTGTTTCACGGAGGACTGCCAGAATTGATTTAGGAAAGTTGCACGGCACTCCCCATCACTATCGGAAGCTGTTGACCTAGCAATTGGTTTTGCCGGGAAATGCACAAAAGTGCGACATGGGCGCTGAGCTTCGTGCTATGCAGCATCTGCTGTTCTCTTATCCGGGCTGCTCTGCAGCTGTGTGCTTGTACATGTTATCC